AAAACGAAGGCATCTCGATGGGTGATATAAAGTGAGTTAGGGCTAAAACCATCAGAAAACCATATGCTGCTTCAGCATGTTCGTGATCCACGAACAAGCTACAACATCGAATTCGATCATTTTCTGAATTGCCATCTCACTTGAAGAAGTTTTCGCTTGTTATCGATCATACATGAGGCTTTAACTTAATATGTGCTATTGAATGCGTAAATGCAATTTTAGGCAAGAAATCTCGCTTCGATCTGAATCCAAATACCACTCTTCCGTGCCACTCTTCGTGGACGAGCATTCGAAGTCATAAAAACACTCTTGTGACATCATGTTCTACATTTACTGATGTAAAATACTCATATCAACAGACTTTCTCGCTGCTCACTAACTCATTAACATGTCATCCGGCAAGAATTCTACTGGTTGATGAAAGGCTGTTGAACTCATGACATGCAAGTAATTTTGACGAGGGAGTGAGTGAAGCCAGCGCATTACAAATAACTAGAGTTGAAGGGAAATCCAGCTCGCTGAGGATGGGCCTCTGAGAACGCTTCAAAGATCGAGATCAATTAAGATGTATGAGAAGACCAATTACAGGATAAAAAATTCTCACATTACGAGTAAACAAATGTACTCGTGTTGAACAAGATGAATTTCGAGCAACTATGACATGTGATCCTGAGACGAGTTTATATGGTTTGCTATATGTCTGGCCAGGATCACCAGTTTATAAAACATGTCTACCATCGGCTTTCCATTACTTACTATGTTCTGTTTTTCGAGTGAGAAGGCCAATAGAACTACCAGATTCTCCTTATCGAAATGTGTTCACAAGTGAACCGGATTGTGATGACCACTCAAGCAGATAAATGCACAATGTCGAACTTCATTACGCATTCAATATGTATATCTGAGATCAAAGAGAACTTTTACATCAGTTGTTTTCATACGATGATAAAATTCAAATAGAAGCACTACCACTCATTTTTCACCTTCAGTCGATGAACTTTTTCACCGCTTTTCGTCTCATAAGGTTTCCGAAATGAGTGAAATGTCATTAACACCAACATTGTTAATTAGAAGGAAGAAACTTTTACACTTACTTTGTACGAGTAGTGCAATCGTCTGCAAATCTAAGCGAAGCTAACGGGCGTGCTATCTTTTATTTCACAGCGTACTAGTTTGCAATGATTTAAAGTAAACAGAACATGAAACAACAGAAAAAGTCTGATGATCTGAGCACGGTAGACCGTAGTTGTCCAACATCAGTCGGCTTAACTTCTCTCTTTGTCTCTTTATATATATATATATATATATATATATTATATATATATATTATATATATATATATATATATACTTCTCTTTGTCTCTTCATATATATATATATAACCTCCTTGTCTTTTATATATAATATATTATATATATATATATATATATATATATATATATATATATGTCCTATCTCATGCACTGTTAATGCCTGAGGACCGGAAGCATAAAAACTGAAAAAGACTCTAGTACGAAATTTTGTCACCTAATTGAGATGAAAGCGACCCGGAATTATTGTACAACAAATTCTCAGCGAGGAATACTAATTTGAAGGATGCGATTCTAATCTCTCGTCTCCTGAGTTCTGCTTTTGCACGTCTAGGATGTCGTCACTGAGAAATGAACATAGAAAGTGGCAAAAGACAACGCTTTAAATTTGAAAAAGGAAAAAGGATTATTCGATGCATTAAAGCATAAATTGAAGTAAAGGGTAGTCAATGGCAGTGGAGATCCTAATTCAAAGGATGTGATGTTTTTTGCTTCATTCAAAAAATGGTGAATGTAGGCTTTATGGGTGCACCTCTGAGCTGCTCGGTAATTAACGAAGTCACAAATGATACATATGATCACTCTGATATTCGACGTAAATCGAATTTTACAAAAGGAGGCATGTACTGGTGTTTACCACGGTGTTCTACCAATCTGGGTATGTCATTAGTTCTTTTCTCATAGAACGATTTGTCTCACAAAATAGAGCTAGAGATCAAGTAAATTTGAGCAAGGCTAAATATGAGGAAACCGGAGCTGAACAGGCTTTTGGAAAATGAGCAATTACTGTATCCCCGAAAAGGAAACTCAAACATGTAGGGGTTGAAGATGATGGTTGTTTAGGATCTAGGCAATGAATACTTCACTTTCTTTTCCCAATCACTAGCAAACGTCTTGTGAAGAAACCGTACAGGTGAGGAGATGTGAGAATATCACAAGGATTTGCTTTCTCGCGATACATAAGTGAAAAGTCGTCCATAATGTCTACTGCAGCTTTCTCCTTTTCCATTCGAATTAGGGCTGAATGTGTATAAGGCGAAGCAATTAATTACCTATAAAAAGCGGAAGAAGGTTCAATACAGAAAACTATGAATGTTCCTTCAATTCAATGAACAACTAATAATGCTCTATTTCTATCATGATAGAGATGGTAGTAATGTGAGTCGAGAATTAATCATTAATTTAAATAAAACAAAAAAAGTAAAAGCTCGCAAGTGAATAGTTGTGAACGGCTGAAAAAATCACTGAGATGAGCACTTGATTGCTAGTGTTTGACCTGACTAATGATCAATCGAAAATCAAAACATAGGATTTTCGACGAACAACCGATCTGCGTTACACTAGTAAATAAATTTGTTCAAATTCGATTGTTTGAGCAATTAGCCAGGACTTGTTTGAAACTGTGGTCAAGCTACCAAGGATGAAGTGGCAGTAATGAGAAAAAGTTTCTGTCAATTTCTAGTCACGTTTCCCATGAGGACTCTCTTTCTCGCATACATTCCAGAATTACCATGTGACTCAGGATGAAGTAGAAAAAAAAGACGGGAAACGCATCTCACATAAGCGTTTTATGTTGCAAACTAGCTTGCGGAATGACAAATTCTGTTTTAACCTTGTGGAAGTGAAGGGAGCCCGAATCTCTCAAGAAAAGCTACTTTTAATGAGAACACGGCTAGAATTGGCACGAAAGACGCGCCACTAATGATGGATACTCTATCGAAAACCCATTAGACGCTGTAAAGATGGAAAAATATAAAACGTTTGTTCTAAAAATGAAATTCACACTGAGTGCAGGAAAACCACTTATGATGCGCTATATGTCAACTAATAAAGATCTATAGTCACCACAGAAGCTATAACATTTGCATCAGAGCGGTGTTGGATAAAATGGAACTGAAGCGTACCACATTTTCAAAGAAGACGCATAAAAACAAAATGGATTGTCGAAAAGGTCCACAATTTCAAGGCTTACCAAGCGAAGCGTCAGACAAGCAGTTTTGCAAAGTAAATAAGTTTCGAATTCCGTTGGAAGATTGTCTATTTCACATTCAAACCCATGCACTTAAAAGGTTTTGATATTCCTTTTCTTCCCGATAAACCTCAAATTTCGTAGCCAACGAATTTCCGAAAAAACTATTATGCGCCATTTATAGAAAGTCTTTAGCAATAAACACAACACTTCAACCAAGGGGAGTTTTATAAACGAAGTAAAAGCTATTGGAGTTTACATTCTCCAACAGCAATACATGGGTTCTTTAATTGTTATGTTCAAGAGTTCAACAGATTTACTCTCTTGAGCAGTTTGGTTTTTAAAGATGCCGCAAATAGCTGTTCGGCAAGGTGAGAGGAGATGAGCCTCATATTTCACATAGTGACACTTTTGTGACTATAATCCGCATCATATGCCGTTAAATTAAATCAGGTATCAAGCAAACTCAAAATCTTGTAAAAAATTATATCAATTCGACATCTAACACTTTTCTAAATTGATATATAAAAATCGAGAAAACTTATCTTGATTAGCTGGCGCGAGCTTACAACATCTACACAGTAAATCTAAAATAGATATAACCAAACCTTTAGGTTTACATAGGGCACAAAAACACAACAACAAGGATTTTGATGTGACTGTCACAATCCTGGCGCAGGAATCAAAAACGTCCACGCGCAAGACTCTTGAGGCATTTTGGATAAACTCCAAAAACCCCGAAATGAACCGAAAGGAAGAATGTGTCACCATCACACGAGATCTCGCGCCATTTCTTCGTTTTATCTACTAACCTGACCTAGGTAGCATATAAATAAGACCATCCGAATCATTCAAATAGACTAACACTACATACGCCCAGGCTCTGAAGAAGGCGTGTCGCCGAAACGTCAGCCGAATTCTACAACTACTTTACCAACCTCGCGCCAGCTAATCAAGATAAGTTTTCTCGATTTTCATATATCAATTGATTATGCCGAGGTTTATAGAAAGTCGAACTTTTGAGTTATTGAACAGCTATATATAACCGTGGGTGAAATACAAAACTTCCAACCTCATGCTGGAATCGAATCTATCGCTCACCTTATCCGAGAGTGCGCGTTCACCAATTGTACCATCAAGGTTCCTGTCCTGTTATCATTACTTCTGTGGCGCAAGAAATCAGTGCCTCCGCAACCAACCGTTAACGGTGACAATGAGAAGAATAGCTTGAGTACTAATCTTTCTTTGAGCCTCACGAAGTTGGTATCTTCTTCCCGATCGATTGTTCTCCTTTCTGGTTGATAGGTTTTCTTGGTTGCTTGTGGCTGACTTTTCAGAAGGCTTTGAGGAAGGCTAATTTGTCGAAACGTCACCCACGAGCAACCAAGAAAACGCATCGACCGGAAAGAACAATAGTCGATTGAGAAAAAGATATCAGCCCCGTAAAACTTAGAATAAAGCTTGGTTCTTAAGCTATTTTTCTCGTTATCACAGTTTTATATTTTCAACATGCTAAGGTTTGAAGAAAGTTGGTCTTTCAAGTTGTTACAACCGTTGACGGTGTGGCTCGGCAAGCACATACTGTCATTGGACCCAGTTACGGTGGCATATATATATACATATATATATATATATATATGGTGTTAAAAACATATATACAATAATGTTGAGCGTCCATACATCATATATCCAATAATGTTGAGGGATATGTAAAAAATCTGAACCTCAGACGAGAATCGCACCCGCATTTCACCTTGTTAGGTAGCGCGTGTTGACCGATTGCACTACTGAGGCGCCTATTTTGCTGTCATTCCTACTGCGATACAATGTAAATAAGCTTGATTCAGTTAGAGCGTACAAGTAGAAGCAATATCATCAGGTCATTCCATAAGTTTTGGCACTAAAACATTAAGCATCAAATTTAATAACTAGAATCAATTAAAACTGCATGATTTTTGCATCGTTCAATGACGGATTTCCTTTTAAACATTTTGGCTTGCAACTTGCCTATACTTACTTTCAGATGGTGCTGTCTTGGAGAACAAATTCGTTTGCTGCATGCACGAATGGCGCATAGAGGGAAAGTGCTAGAAAAGCGGTGTGCAAGATTGTCGGAGCTCCCTGTTAACATTTTGAGCGCGACTAATCTCTAGACTGTTTTCTCTAGGTTTATACTCTCGAACCGCTTTCAAGTCGTCATTTCTGGAGAAGTATCATAGCCCCAACCTCCAATAATATTGCGGGTCGCTTCACTAGTGCTTTACGCGATATTCTTCCACCACTAGCAAACGAATTTGTTCCCACGACAGCTCCATCTTAAAGCAAGTCTGGACAAGTTGTATGCCAAAATGTTCTCAAGGATATGCGCAACTGCAAGAGACTAATCATGCACTTTTAATTACTTCGTTAATAAACTATGTGTTTTTTGTTCTGCTGTCGAAACTTATGGAAACGACCGAATATTTGTGAATTCGGCCCAGGACAAGCGTTGATCTTATACGCAGTCTAAAACTGTATACCTAAATATAACCTTGGCTCTGGAATTTCTTTTTAGCGTAATGGCAGAATACTTTTGGTGAAAGACGTGAAAATGAAAATTGTGAGTAAAGTAAGGATATGACATATTTTGAGCCATAGGTCTAGTGCTATATAGGCGCCTATTTCGTCCTATTGGGACTCATCAGTAGCACCCTCCCTCGGTTCCGTCGACTACTACTACTACTACTACTACTACTACTACTGATGGTGCTACTGATGAGTCCCAATAGGACGAAATAGGCGCCTATATAGCACTAGACCTATGGCTCAAAATATGTCATATCCTTATCAGATTAAATCATTTTGAGCGGGCCTGTAAAAAAGCAGTCGATAGAAGAAGTATAGATTCATTTTAAAAGCCGTAAGCTCGACTGCCGGTCACCACAAAGTCAGGTAATAACATCATCCTACTTTGGGTGCTTAATTTTACTCGGCGTCGGTTCCTTTAGAGGATTGTTTACCTCAAGGGATCGACGGAACCGAGGAAGGGTGCTACCGATGAGTCACAATAGGACGAAATAGGCGCCTATATAGCACTAGACCTATGGCTCAAAATATGTCATATCCTTATCAGATTAAATCATTTTGAGCGGGTCTGTAAAAAAGCAGTCGATAGAAGAAGTATGTGAGTAAAGTATTAAGCTGCCAGGAAATTTTCCGGGCTTTTTCGTTTTACTTGATTACTTTTCAAGCATTTGAGCTTTTGTTTTTACTATAATTTACAGCAGCTTCTTGCAGTTATTCTGATATGTAACGCTTTCACATTTGCGCTAAGATGGAATTATCCCGAAAGCAGAAACGATTGTTGATGCTACACCAGTATCGTTGCGTACCCAAGCAGCTTTTGAACCCAGTCGATACTCATATAGCGTCAACAATTGTTTCGCTCTCGCAACGATCTCATTTCAAAGCAAATGTTTGGGTGCTTTATATAAAAATAACCACAAGAAGCTTTTCTAAACGACAGTTAAAGCAAGAAACAAATGCATAATAAATAATTAAGAAAAACGAAAAAGTCCGGAAAATTTCTCGCTAACCCAATAATACCTCAATGACCGACTTTTATGAAATTCTTCGAGATAATCAATGGAATTTTAGTTCATATGATTGAACTGACATGAAGTTGGTATATAAAGGTTCATTGGCTACTGTGACGTTTTTGTCTTAAGCCTACTGATCCGAGTCATTACTACCACAGTCGTTCGTCCACGTTGTGACCTTCGCCTTCGTTGTTCAACTCAAATCTGCTTCATGAAGCTCCTGTTGTCTCGGCGGAATGATTGAAACCGTGTCCTGAAATAACGGCTATCGTATTGCAAATTCTTTATAGTTTGCGTTTTTTCTGAAGGAAGTGGTTGTCAAAAGTATTGATGGAGACGTTTTATAGACTTTTTGAGCTTGAAATGTTTACCCTTTGAAGGTAATGCACAAAAAATTACTTTGATGTCAGAGATTGGCTCACGGTTCCTTGATTACGTTTGACAATTCCCAATTTTTAAAATGCCCAATTTTTAGCAAATGCTTAGTTGGATAGTTGGGTATTTGGATGATCCCTTTTGCACCACTTGTGCGGACCCCACCACATATTCCATTCGTTTCTGTCTCGTGATAATCATTCATAGTCGCTGTTTGAACTAAGGACGGATGCTGGTCGGGTTTCATACAGTGACCTGTAAAATATCGGCAGCTGCGAGTACAACTGATTGAATCTTCGTACGAAAACGTCCGTCTAAGGAGTAGGTGGTAGTCTTCGAGAGAGCGTACATTGTCGTGAAACCCACTTTACAGTTTCTTGCGTTCATCTGTCGTCTGTTTTTCTTACTATTTGACCGGCCCATCTGTGTATCGCTGCAGCTGTGCAGTCTCCTAGATCAAGGAGATGGAGCAGACTTCCATGACCTGAGCTGCGCAAGCTCTACTAGATGTTGTGCACACCGACTAAATTTTAGGCTCGCTTGTTTGAGTCTAATCCTACCCGGACCATGTTTCTGTCATCTTAATGATAGAATCTAGCTTTGAGGGAGGGAGAACCAGTCCAGCAACGGAGCTATTCTTCTTAATTTTGCATGGAAATGAGAAGAAAGAACTATTGAATGGATTAAAGTAGAAGCTGCGATTAATCGTATCCATTGCCTATCTGAAGGACGCAGTACTTCGATCGCGGCGTTGTCGTGCAATCATCTTATTCTGGTAAGTGGCAAATTTTCGGTGCTGCGAATATACCAATCAAATGTTGTCGTATCTAATCCTTTTGAATTGCATCATTAGACACTTACTGAAAAACTCAGACGTGATAATCTGCAATTATAGGAATGAGACTCAGATATTATTTTCATAAGTCCAGGAAGCTTACACCATAAATTCACGTGCACCTCAGTAACTCAGGTCGCTTTTCACCCGTTAATGATCCATCAGCTCAAAATCTAATTATGACGTGGAAGACCTACGTGACTCATTTTTTAATTCGACCCATCTCACAGCTTTTTCTTCTTTGTGGGGATCTCAGTATTTCTAGCATCACCTGATTTTTTGTCTTCATCTTAGACGTCGTAGAGTATTGATTAAGCGGGCCTCGTTCAATCTTGCAAATAACCTAGCTGTGGCGTTTTATAGGGCATTCGTTGTTGAATGTCGAAGAGTGTTATGGGTTGAAGGATTAAAATCTTGTTGCGGAGAGCATACCAACCTTTAGGCCACGACCTCCTCTTCACGGATCTGCGTGACAATGTGCAAAAAGTGTACATACATGAGTTTGACGCCAAGGTCAGTTTGAATTTTGTTTAGATGGACAGCACTCATGTGACTTCACAGAAGTTCACTACTACTCTCGAAGGTAGTGGTTGGCAGTCAGAGAGACCAAGGCGCTATGCTGATACTTAAATGAAATTTATGTATATGTTAAAGCAGAAAATCTTGTGCAACGCATGCAGCGCAGATAAAATCGACATACATCCTTGTTATTGTTGAGATTGTATAAGTAGTAACCACAGGGAATTTATGCATAATTGTTAGTTCGGGAGATTGTATGCGAAGGCTGTGACTGTGAATTTTACATAAGTGTTTATGATTACAATATCCACGACATGGTGGTTGCTGATGTTGTGTGGTCCCGGATCCGTCTACATACAGTAGGCATGGCTAGAGAAGTGATCCTTTTTTCTAATGACGATTGAGTGTCCTGTGTCAGGTCCTAAGATTGAGGTTTACATCGAAGTACAAGTCGTACATCGCACAAGCTATTACCCCACGTCAACATAAGTAATATAGATTATAGTACTATCGAAAAGAGTTCTATTTATACAATGCTTTTAAGCGGTGGTATGATGCTACAAATATGCCCAATGATGAAGAGTGACGTGCAGGACTTTAACGTCAGGCTGGAGTCGACCATAATACTACAAGGTTTTTGAAGGTTATGTAAAAAAATGGAACGCCGTGGACGAGTGGTTAAGATGTTTGTCGTAGCGCCCGTGGAGCCGAGCTCCACCTCCAGTCACCTCTCCAGCAGTCAACTTGAACGCCTTATGGAACGCCACAGCCAAGCTGTCCTCGAGATTGCAAGGAGACTCGCTCATCCAATATTCTGCGCCCGTTTAAGAAGGCGGTAAATAGATGAATTGAATGCCGGAGGTACTGCGATGAAAAAACACTGTGAAGACTGATCAATAAAGTAAAGTATATAAAAAATTAATAGCACACTATAGAGGCAATGAAAAATGGTTCTGATTGCGATCAGTCAACACTCTGGTGCTAACTCTTTATAAAAAATGAGATAAAAAACCTGCATTTGATTAGAAGATCAGTAATATTTTTATGCTAAAAATTTAGGAACTGATATCGATTTCTCTACCGATTCTAAAAGCTTACTAAGTGTGTGGAACGACACGACAAGAAATTTCCTCTTCGTTACAAATGCTCTTTCTGAATGCTGGATGCATAGATACTTTTCGAAATTCTGAGATATTCATGTTATGACGTTCCCATGTGGAGTAAAGCAATATCTACACAGTTTGGTATAATTTTTTTTCAGTCATAGAGGCATAGGAGGCTTGCTAGGCGGGAAGCAGAGTTGAACCACCAGTTGAGTAGTTAAGCCAGTCGCATGAAGGTATCACTATCGCTGCACTTCAAGGAGTTTTCTTGAATGCAAAAGAAGTATGAGAATTTGCAAATTGTAGCCCGTAGACCGAAAGTTTCCTTGCTTTATTAGAGTGAATCACTGGTTTTTTTTATGTTTACCAAACGTATTCCGTGCA